TTAAAGAATTTATATTAAACTCCATAAAAATGATAGGTTAGCACAAATGTTTTAAGCAACAGCTCTTCTATTCGTCAAAGGAAACATCATTGAGGTTATTCCTTTGTTGTTCACTCACTCCTAAGAAAAATTCTACATCTGCCCTTGATAATGCTTACTTGGTTATTCAGATTTCTTTTTTTGTTTATTTGCTACGGTTTATTTACATTTATGTCATTTGACTAACAGTTTTCTGTTAATTTTAATTTTAGATGGACGCATGCAACGGACGTGTTTAACGCATTACTTTCATACAAATATTTCTACCGTCAAAAATGGCCAATGATAGTATGTTACAGCATAAAACGGAACGTATCTGGCTTTGAATTAATTTCTGAGTAAATGCTTTGTGATTCTGTTCTGATTTGAGTTACTGAGAACACCTGGAATAAAAGAAAACCGAAGAAAAAAGTGAACAACTCCTAACTAAGGAAAATCCTGGATCCGCCTTTGATAATGGTTAGTTGGTTAATCAGTTTGCTGATTCGTTTGCTAGGCTTTATTTTCCTGTGTATGCCTATTTATTACATTCATTTTGAAATCATTGGTGGTCCCTGTAATCTGATTGGCTCTAACTGATGCGATTTATTCACGAATCGCACCATTTTTTGCTTTAAATCGCATCATTTTTCCAGCCAATGAGGATGTTGCACTTAAAACAAACAACCAAACAGATTCCAAGATTTCTGATTATCAGATTTTAGATTTCTGTATTTGGGCGAATTCAAAATGTATGTAATACTGCATCAATAAAATATTTGAATTGACCAAGTCCCGTATTTGGGCGATTTCAAAGTTGATTTAATAAAGTGGTAATTGAACCTCGCGTCGCGCAATTTTGGTCTGAAATCATACTTTTGATTTCAAATCGAACTCCACTGCGCGCTCGTTCGATTTTGAAATCACGCGTATGATTTCAGCCCAAATTGCACTCCACTCAGTTCAGTTGCCATTATTAATTTGACAGTTTTCTTTCAGTTTTTAGGCTGATGGATGAATTGACATATTTGATGTATTACTTTAGCACAAATATTTCAACCCTTAGACAGGGGTAACTATTGTATGTTACAGGATAAAAGCGAACGTATCTGGCTTTGAATTTATTTCTGAGTGAATGCTTTACAATGCTGTTCTCATTTGAGTTTCCTGGGAACACCTGGAATAAAAGAAAAAACGGAAAAACAAGAGTGAACAACTTGTTATGGTGAACCAATTTTAAGTACAATAAAATGAAGGAGGTGCCGGATGAGGAGGAGGGGGAGGTAGGGGGCATTTGAACAGGTCTCAACAGCTCACTTCTTTCAGGCATTTTTGTGTTATATTGTATTGCGGCCCGGCGTTTCCAAACGAAGTTAATTTTTCGTCAGGTTTTTCACTTTTTTATCTTTTTTTATTTTGGATTGTTTACCATTCATTCTCTGAAACCAAATGCAAAGTCTCTTCTTGAATCTTTCCCCGAATATCAATGTTGCTAATACTTAAGCTAGTGTGTGCAGCGTGCACATATCATGTCTCTATTATGATTTGCGAAAGAGGAAAAGGCCAAAAAAAAATAAACCAAAGCATAATGAATAAATAATATAGACAAAATAAGGAACAGAAAGAGAGACGGAGACGTTTCCTGTCTCACGAAATCCGCAAAACAAGATATCATCATGAGAAATGATGTTTTAGTTAATGTATCGTGGATGGAAAAGTCTTCGCAGCACAATGTCCAACTAATTTCTAAATCTCTTTGACGTCACACACCACACTCGAGAATAGATGAACTACCTCTGTTTAAGTCATTAAAGCATTCTGTTAAAAAAAATTCGACTCCAATCCTAGTTTAAAGGTTTTTTTTTTAATCAATCTCATCTTTAAAAGAAAAGTGAACTACTTTTGAAAAAATGCTTTTTGTTTGGTTTAGACGACGTTTCGTCTCGGTCAAAAGACGCATTAGTTTCTTTTTAAAATTTCCAATCAAACCTGTCATACACAAACTTATAATCTCTGACGACCGTTTTCTGGTGCAATGGCCAATGAAGATAAGTGTCCAATTCACCATCTGAGTGTATGCGATCTCTTTGCCAATTATTTGCATTGACTTCAAACTCTTTGTTAGTTGTTGAAAATGTCAATCAAAGCTGTTTCCATACCTTTTCAATATTCGTCTCCTCGTAAGTATTCCAAATTGTACCGTCTGTAGATAATTGTAGTTTGTAGCTGGTGGTCCATTCAGATGTCGCCCGTTCTCCTTGTGTAGCTACAGCACAAATAAAACGCACTTCACCCATATCAACTTGAAGATAGTTTGCTGTAGTAGATGGATGCCTAGGACACCACGCTCCGCTCCCCCTACTTTCGTTGAGTCTGCTGTAGTATGGATGATAATTGATACTGTAAAAACTACTTGCTGTTATTCTGGCATCTGGAATTATATTATTATCTGCCACACCAACAGGCCCACATTCTAAATAAGAGTAAATGAAATAAACTATAAGGCTTATATTTAGCC